GGCACCATCTCTCCCCACAGCTCACCAGTGAGAGCTTCGTTTGCAGTACGGTAACTTAAGCAAGTGGCTTTATAAACTGAAGTGTTATCCTGTTGCTCTGGAGTCGATACCGAATCATGGCGACCCTACAGGGCAGAGTTGAACTTCTCTACAGGGCTTCCGAGGCTGTCATCTTTACAGAAGCAGATGGCCACACACATTATTCTGATTGTCTCATTTAGGTGGCGTGGATAAGGGTGTTTGTTTTACTATCCTTTTCACTTTGTGTTTGAACAGTTTATAATTTAAAACATTTTTTAAAATGCATTTGTTCTACAAGTATTTCTAAGGACGCCATGTCTGGCTTTGGGCAGAGAGGCCTTACAGGTCTGCGAGGGCCGGCCGCAGGCAAATAACAAAACCCAGCTCCCTTTGTGCCTGGAAGGCAATTACTCACCGTTCCCCAAATGACGGGGACAAAGGGGAGAGTGATAAATACTTGTCTGGTGAGTTTCAGTTTAGAGAATCTTGTTCTCTAAGGCACTCCTTGGAGCCCTGGTGGCACAGTGGTTAAGTGCAAAGCTGCTAACAGAAAGGTTGGCATTGCAACCCACCAGCTGCTCCCCAGGAGAAAGATGTGGCAGTCTGCTTCCCTAAAGATTTACAGCCTTGGAAACCCTGTGGGGCAGTCCTACTTGTTCCCACTCATCACACTGTATCGAAACTATTTGTGAGTCTAGAAGCTGCAGGAAGCGTGGGAAAAAGGTTTCTAAAAGATTTAGTAGTTGTGTGACTTGGGCGAGTTACTCGACTTCTCTGAGCTCTCATTTCCTGTCCGATGCGTTGAGATTAAATGACATCATGTACGCAAAAGCGCTTGGCATCATGTGAGTGTCCCCAAAGCCTGGCACTGCGCCTGCCACGACGTGGGCAGTGCTGGTGGAGGTGGACAGGGGGTTCCCACCGCCTCCTCTGCCCCAACACAGACGTCACCTCCTTGAATCATCTCCCCGAACCTCGCTGGGTCGCTGGGTCTCCCGCTCACAGGCAGCACCTCCCCCGCAACAGCTGAAAGGGGAAGCGGCTTGGGGGAGGAGGAAAGAGCGGCCTGTAGATAAAAAGGAAGTGTCAGCTCGGGTCCCTACTGCCTCTCCTCCAGACCAACGTGGGGGGGCACCGGGGTCCCACGGGCTGGCCGGCAGCAGCTGAAGCACTGGGCCACTGCTGCCGCTGCGCCGGCCACTCCGCTCCGCTGCAGCCTTGGTTTGCCTCAGGGATCAAGAGTGCGGGGGACCTGCTGGGACTCCACCTAGGGGGGTGGCCCCAAAAGCCCTCCGCCATTAATCAGCCGGTAGGCCTCATTACAGTGGCTGCAACAATGGGCTCAAACACAGCAAGGATTGTGAGGATGGCACAGGACCTGGCAAGACCGGGCGACATTTGGTTCTATCAAACGTAATGTTGCCATGAGTTGGAGAGAACTCCAGGGCACCTAATAAGGCCTCGTTCATTCATGTTGATGACAAATATTTATTGTGTGCCCACTATGCGCCACTCCGTATACCAGGTGTGAACCATGCAATGGACGGGTCAGGCAAGATCCCTGCCCCAAGGCACTCAACCCCTGGGGTGGGGAGAGGGGGCTAGGCCGTCAACAAGTAAACAGTCCTTTCCAATTATGATAAGAGCTGTGAAAGAAACAGACCATTCAGCCCAGCAGCAGCACTGCTGTCTCCTGCGTTTACCTGTGTTTTACTGACTATGCAAAGGCATTCAACTGTGTGGATCATAACAAATTATGGATAACATTTCCAAGAATAGGAATTCCAGAACACTTAATTGTGCTTATGCAGAACCTGTACATAGACGAAGAAGCAGTAGTTCAAACAGAACAAGAAGATACTGTGTGGTTTAAAATCAGGAAAGGTGTGTCAGGGGTGTATCCTTTCATCAGGTTTATTTAATCTGTATGCTGAGCAAATAATCCGGGAAACTGGAGTATATGAAGAACACGGCATCAGGATTGAAGGGAGACTCATTAACATCTGTGACAGGCAGATGACACAACCTGCCTGAAAGCAAAGAGGACTTGAAGCACTTACTGATGAAGATCAAAGACTACAGCCTTCAGTATGGATTACACCTCAATATAAAGAAAACAAAAATCCTCACAATTGGACCAGTAAGCAACATCATGATAAACGGAGAAAATACTGACGTTGCCTAGGATTTCATTTTACTTGGATCCACAACCAATGCCTATGGAAGCAGCAGTCAAGAAATCCAATAATGTATTGCACTGGGCAAATCTGCTGCAAAGACCTCTTTCAAGTATTAAAAAGCAAAGATGTCACTTTGAGGACTAGGGTGTACCTGACCCAAGCCATATATGTTCAATTGCCTCATATGCGTGCGAAAGCTGGACAATGAATAAGGAAGACTGAAGAACTGATGCCTTTGAATTATTGTGTTGGTGAAGAATATTGAATATACCATGGACTGCCAGGAGAACGAACAAATCTGTCTTGTAAGAAGTACAGTCAGAACGCTCCTTCGAAGCGAGGATGGCAAGACTTTGTCTCATGTACTGTGGACATGTTATCAGAAGGGACCAGTCCCTGGAGGACATCATCGGAACAGAGAAAGACCCTCGACGAGATGGACTGACACAGTGGCCGAAACAATGAGCTCAAACATAGCAATGATTGTGAGGATGATGCAGGACCAGGCAGTGTTTAGCTCTGTTGTACGTAGGGTCGCTATGAGTCAGAAATGACTCAACAGCACCTAACAATATCTTCAAGGAAACGTAATCACTTTTTCAAACAGCTGCATGTCAGCCTGAGGGGCCCTTCCTTACCCAGATCCTTGTCATTCTGAAACATTCACTCGCCTGTCACATTTACAAACTAGACAGAAACTGGAAACAAATTAAGTGACGAGCAACCCAGGACTGACTGGATAAATTTAGGGGAATCCATTTCATGGACTATACTGCAGCCATCAAAAACAATGCAGTGGATTTCTGTGTGCTGATGTGCAAAGATGACCTACATATTACCATGTTTGCACATAATACGAAAAAGACTTCTAAAAAATTAAATATCTGGAGGGCTCCTTATGGTGGGCAGTGGTTAAAGTGCTCAACTGTTAACCGAAAGGTCAGCAGTTGGAACCCACCAGCCGCTCCTCAGGAGAAAGATGTGGCAGTCTGCTTCTGTAAAGGCTAGAGCCTTGGAAACCTTGTGAGGCAGTTCGACTGTCCTTTGGGTCGCTATGACTCAGAATTGACTGGACAGGTTGCATTAACTAATGTTTACTGAGTTCATATTATGTCCAAGCAGCCTACATGTTAGCTCACTTAACTTGTACTCAGTGAGGTGGGTACTAGTATACCATATAATGCAAACACAATATAATACAGAGTAGGGAACTGAGTTTTGAGGTTTAGCGGGATAGAATGACCTGTCTCGGATCATATAGCACATGTCAGAGAGAAGTGATTCTGAGGTTAGAATCTTTAATCTCCTGAAATTTTAAAGTCTAAAAATATCGAAATGGCCTTAGGGACTAACTGAAGTCACCGAAGTGGTCGAAAGTCTCAACACTGTTTTCCCAAATGGACCTGAAATGGCCTGTATCTGCCCATGTGCTATGTGGCCTCTGGAGCCACATCTGCTGTGACAGTTTGCATTCCTGGAGTGGAACACGGAAAAACAAAACACCCTGGACTCTTTCCACCCAGTCAGCCGAGATCCACTTTCTGTCCCCCTGGTCAACCTCACAATCAGGGGAGTCTGAACTTTTGGGAGAGACCGATCTAAGGTGAGTGAACCTACCAGCTAGCTGTGAGTCTGGGCAAGTGATTTAACCGGCTCTCACCGCCGCTATCTGTCGTATGAGATTAATAACAGCATCTGTTTCATAACACTGTGTTGTGTGGCACACAGCAAACACTCAATAAATGTTTACAGTCGGCATCACTCATTCCCACGAGGCTGCCATTTCCCGAGCCCCTAGGTCTGGCCGTTGCTGGAGGGATCGCGGACCTGGGCCGACCTTGGTCATGCACTCCCGCTCACCGGCTCCAGCCTCCCAGCTCCGGACCCAAAGCCCTCAACCGTGTCAACCAGGGAATAGACCCTCCGGGTTTCCCTTCATTCGCCGCTCACGAGGAAAGTTCCCTTCACCACGGGGCTAGGAGGGAGATTATTAAGACCCGCTCTCTCACGGCTGAGCAAGTCTTCCGAATCCCAGGGCACTTGGAGAACGTCAAGCGCGGACTGTTCCAGGCAACTTAAAATCCAGCTCAAAATCCGGGCTGGGAAACTGGTCGCTGCCGACCGTTCACCGAGCGCCGCACCGGTACTCCTTACGCCTGAGAGAGCCCGGTTCTGGGGAACTCGAGGCACCCATTCATGCGCACGCGCAAAACAGCTCCGTTCACTGCGTCTCCCGGCAAGCCCCGCGTCCATCCGGATGCTGAGGAGCGGAGCGCCAGGCTGCCCGGGTGGGCCTGTCTTCCGGTGCCTCCCAGCCCCAGGGACGGGGCGCGGCCCTCGCCTATCAGTCCAGTTACTACAGTACTTGTTAAAAATTCAGATTCCCGGGCCCCACTCCGACACTGATGCAGTGGATCTCCGTGGCTCGGGGATTTGCATTTTAATAAGCATTCCGGGGGTTCTGACTCAAGTCCTTCGCGGGTCACACCGGCCTTGGGCTTATTTTATTCTCGCAAAGAGTCGAGCATCGACTAGCGACCCCCACACTTCACCTCCGCCTCTCCCGCCTTCTACGCCCACCAGTCTCTGGAGTCTCAGGGCTTGCCCTATGGCCCCGCCTCTCGTCTTCCCATTGGCCCCTCGTTCATCCCACCCCTCAGGCAAATCTTCTCTTCTCAGTGGTTGGCCGTGAGTATGGCGAGACCTGACCCAATGGGTGCTGGATTTCGGAAATCGTTTCCCGGAAGTTGGTCCCGAGCAGGCGCCTTTGGCTTTTGGACGCCTAACTCGCGCGCTGGGACTTCCGGCGTGGGAGCCGAGGGACGAGTCTTGCGTGGATCCGCGGCGTTGGAAGAGATTGGTGCTCACGTTCTGCCCCCTGGAGGCCCTGGCGGGGGCGGGCGAAAATACCCACGCCGCGGCGGCCAGGACCGAGTGAGGCTAAGGCGCCGGAGCCGGCTGCGCCCAGGCAGGAGCATCACTCCTCCGCCGGGACTTGGAGCCCGGGGCCCGCCGGCTGCAGCCGACGCCGTCCATCCTCGCACGGGGCCCGGGGCGCCTTCCCAGACGGGCGCAGCTGGTTTCGGGGCCAGGGCGCTCCAGGAGCCTGACGATGGCGTCGGGACCGGGCTCCCAGGAGCAGGAAGGGCTCCTGATCGTGAAACTGGAGGAGGACTGCGCATGGAGTCAGGAGCTGCCTCCACCCGACCCAGGGTGCAGCCTACAGGCCTCCCACCTGCGCTTCCGACGGTTCCGCTTCCAAGAGGCCGCTGGTCCCCGAGAGGCCCTCAGCCGGCTCCAGGAGCTTTGCCATGAGTGGCTGCGCCCGGAGATGCGCACCAAGGAGCAGATCCTGGAGCTGCTGGTGCTGGAGCAGTTCCTGACCATCCTGCCCCAGGAGATCCAGAGCAGGGTGGAGGAGCTGCATCCGGAGAGCGGCGAGGAAGCGGTTACGCTTGTGGAGGATATGCAGAGAGAGCTTGAAAGACTGAGGCAGCAGGTGAGAGAGAAAGCGCGTTTATCCGCAGTTTGTTGGGGCCCCAAGGACTGGGACATCGTGCTCGTTTACTTCTGCATTCGAATTTACTGGGTTGCCCTCAGTAGACCTTACATGGGTAAAGGGCTTTTTTCGTAGTTTAATCTGCAACTTTCATCCTCCGGATTTCCCCCAGGTGGACAGAGTGAGCAGTGAAGAGTTCCCTGTTCCCACATGGAGGCAGTGTCGTTGCAATAGTTAGTGTGAGCTCTGGAGTTAGAGCGCCAAGAGTAAAACCTGACTCTGCTAAGTACCGGCTTTATGATTTGGGGCAAGTTACACGATGTCTTTGGGCCTCAGTTTTCCATGTGGTAAAATGAGGATAATAACATACTCTTCTAGGGTCGTTTTGAGGGTTAAAAGGAGAGAGCAACATGTAAAGTTTTGATCACACTGCTGGCTTATTATTAGTATTTAGTAAGTGTCAGCTGTTGTTATATTACAGGCAGCAGTCTGGTCTCTTGCAGAGCTGGGTCTCAGTTAACTGTGAACTTAGCAAAACCCAGTTTGCACTAAGGCTCTGAGATCCGTGTCCCCGATACCACCCAAATTAGCTTATCTAATAGTGAGAGATGGAAGCTTCTAGAAAAGGTGAGCGAAAGGTAGAGGGAGCGAGGTGTTTTAGAAGAGCTGTGTGGGAAAGGTGTGCACTGGGAGTAGACCCCCCCCCCCAACACACACACACAGTTTTCACTGATGTGCACATGGGATCAAAGAAGCCTCTAATCTAAGCCATCCTTCTCTCTTACCGGGTCCACAGAGATTGCTGTGGTTCTCTGTTGAAGGTTTGCCATCAGAATCCTGTGCTGATTTCGCTTTCTCTCAGGCCCTGTTGTGACGATGAGTGATGTGGGTTGGTTCTCAGGTCACAAACCATGGGCAGGGAACAGCAGTGCTTTTGGAGGAGACTTTGCCTCTGGAAACAGCACGAGAGTCACCGAGCTTCAAGCTGGAGCCCAAGGAGACTGAGCGAAGCCCTGGCCCCAGGCTGCAGGAGCTGCTAGGCCCCAGCCCCCAAAGGGACCCCCAGGCTGTAAAGGAGAGGGGTGAGGAACAGTTATCGGGGCAGGTGGGAGGGAAGAGGGGCTTTGGGGCTGCCCCTGGCGCCAGCAGGCCAAGGACAAGGAATGCTGAAGTCCAGCTTCTCAGGTGTGCAGTGAAAGGCCTAGAAATGGTGGATTGGGTTCTCCTGGGGCGGAGGAGGGAGGGGCCTCTCTTTGTTGACTCTTTTATTATGTACAACAGGCGATCTCCTTCTAGTGGGCACGCTAGCTGAATGATTGGGGGCATGGAGTGCTGCAGCTGTGCTGGGAAGGGTGCTGGTATTTCTTTACTCTGTTCCCATCATCTTGGCTATCACTGTACTATGCCTCTGTTGCCCTCTTTTTTTTTTTAGTGTTTAATCCTAAAAGCAGAGACTGAGTGTTGGGGAATGGATACTATGGTAGAGTAATCGTCCTCGGGGCACCAGAAATTAGGAATGCCGTTCTCACTGTGATTTCTGTCACCTTCAGCGTTATCTGCTCCCTGGCTTTCTCTCTTTCCTCCTGAAAGGAACATGGAAGACAAGGAGCTGGCTGGGCCCCAGGTGATGTGGGGGTTCCCCCTGCCCCCCTTTCCACTCCCCCATCCTTCATCCTCCCCCTTGGAGTGTTCCTCTTGGGGGAAAGGGTCCTTTCTGCCGCCTGCAGAGGATCCTTTCTCCCTCCCCACATGCGTCCCCCACCTTCTCTGTCTCCTCCACATCTGGCTTGTAGGTCTGGCACCCTCTTTCCCATGAAGTGTGTTCTGGGCACCCCTTTAGCCTTTAGCCCCTTAGCCGGCGACTCTGCTTGAATTGTGCTTAGTGCATCCAGGGCTAAAGGTGATCTTGTGCTGTTTCAGTTGCCTGAGAGCTTAGAGGACGTGGCTTTGTACATCTCCCAGGAGGAGTGGGGGCATCAGGAGCCTCGTAAGAGGGCCCTCTCCAGGGACACGGTGCAGGAGAGTTACGAGAACGTGGACTCACTGGGTAAGGACTTTTCTCAGGGATGAAGACTAAACCATTCTGACTAGGGTTGTATCCCTTAGACAGTCACCTTCTGACGTAAGCTGAGTTTTGCCAAGAATCCTCCACAGGAGACGCCTTTATCTGCAGTCCCCTTGACTCTGATCAGGGAAACGTGTGCCGGGTGGCCTGGCCAGCATACTTCCAGGCAACCCTGGACTCAGGTCCCAGCGGCGAGAGCCTAAGGTAGGGAGCCTGGACCGTAATGGACTTCGGAGGACAAATAAATCAAATCCAGTAACCCCTACCCCCTCTGTACACACACACTCATGGTGGCCTAGGATGCTGTGGGTGCTGAGCTTTTTGTTTCTTGCAATTTTGAAATGCTTGTTCTTCTGAGCTATGTTTAACTTTCTATGCTCCATTAATATTCTAGGCCTTTCCACAAAAACAAAAGTGTCAGGGTACCAGCATCAACATTTCAGCTTATCAGCTGTCACAGTCTAAAAATTTCGTGAAGAAGGTTCTCTGTGCTCAGAGATGTTCATCAGGCATTACTTATCATTTTAGAAATTTGGGAACAATGTACATATCCAAAATAGGGGTTAAATAAAGTGCACTTGTGTGTTGAGCTATTTATTATGCAGAGATTAAAAATGATGTTTATGAAATATAACAAAAAATTTGATCATTGGATTTAGGTGGAAGGTATACAGATAATCATCATACACTTCTTTCAACTTTTCTATATGTTTAAGGACACCATAAAACAAGATGTATGTACGTTACTATTGCAACTCTGTTGAAGCACATAGTGGTAGAAAGAAACACATTGCACTTTGTACCCATACATGAGATTTGCATAGAGAGGATCACAACTGTGAACTCATTTACACTAATTCTGCAAAGGGATTACTGTGGGCTTTTTGTTTCATGTCATTGGGACTGTCTCAGGTTCTCCATATCCTTTTTCCAACTGCTGTGATGCCTAAAATTGAACACAGCTCTTTCAGTGGGTGCTAAACATGGGAAGAAGTTCACATCACAATTTCTTGAATTAGACTTCTGTTCAAGGGCGTGTTTGCTGGAGGTGGCGTGAGATTTTTGTTTTTCTTTTTAGCACAGCACAACAGTGTCACTTTTGAGTTTTAACCTCGTGGTCCTCCCAGAGGCCCAGATCCTCTTCTGGTTGTCCATCATGTTATTTTGCTTTCTGGAGTTGCCTAGCCAAACTGAGTCTACTTTAGATTTAAGTGTGGAGGCTCTTTTACAGTATTAAACTGATGGAACTAACCATCTCAACCATGTCCTTTTTATTGTTGTTTTAGTTACAAAAGTGTACATTCTCTAAATGCTACAAAAGGTGTTTTGTTTTGTTTTGTGTTTTAAAGCCGGAGTCTCCCTCCCCTCATTATGTCTAGAGAACCAGTGGAAACAGTTGAGTGTGTATTCCAAGTAATTGCTGTCAGACTTACTGAGCAGAGAATTCTCTATCCATCTGTTGAGTGCGGGCATCAAGACTGTTTCCCCAGTCTGATCGAGAAAAGTGCTGACACAGAAATCTGTTTCCTTCACTGTGAACAGCATCTCCGATTCCCAGTCAGGAGGCCCTGAGCACCCAGGTGGAACCAGAAGGAAAGCCATGGGATCCCAGGGTCCAGACTTGCAAAGAGGGTCCGAGCCCCCGAAGCCCAGGTGCAGGTAAGAAATGATGAGCTGCCTGCCCAGCAGGGCTCCCAGGTGTTGAGAGTGAGGCACTTGGGTACCATAGTTTTCGCAAACAGTGTGCCCATGTAAATAATGCGCACCCACACACGTATAACATGCAGAGATGACAAAATCATGTAAAAAAAAGTTCTAGCATAGCACACCTGTGCATCTACCATACATGTTTTGTGACATTTCCAAAAGTGAATTTCAGCCTCATTCACCCGCATTCAGTAGTCCAAAAACATTACTTTTTATTGCATTTGTATGATAAAGGTATAAACCATGGTCAAGAAGTCATGGATCAAGTTTGGTAGTACCCCAGTAACTGGAAAATAAACAGTTGAAACTGTATTTGTTTCTATTACTGTATTTTTATGCAACACGTGCCTTCTGCATTTGTTTGCCAACCACACCTCCCTCCCCCCGCAAGGTATTTTCAGAAGTGCCTCTATGCCAATTTTTTTTTTCACATGTTGCTGTTAAAAATAAAAATTAAAAAAATAAAATTAGCTTAGCGCACTTGTCGTGGGGCAGGAGGGGTGTTGGCAAACAGAAGGCGTGCGTCATCTGCGTAAAAATACGGTGATTTAAGTTGATGATTATATCTCGGAGCCCTGGTGGCACAGTGGTTAAGAACGCAACTGCTAACCAAAAGGTCAGCAGTTCAAATTCACCAGCCGCTCCTTGGAAACCCTATAGGGCAGCTCTGCTCTGTCCTACATGGTCGCTATGAGTCGGAATCGACTCAACAGCAATGGGTTTTTGGTTTGGAATTACATCCCTGTTGCTTTTGAGTCATCAACAGGAACCTTGAACCTACTGAAGCCTGTCCATAAATCACGTGCTGTCAATTGGAAGCATAAACAGAATGAAGTCTGCACTGGTATAAATGGAATCAAGTAGTTGTCAGTAGAAATCTTGATTCACTCTGCATTGACATAATTATCGTAGTCAGTTTCCGACTCTGGCTTTTAACTGGAGGAGGAAACAAAGCAAAACTGATACAGGTTTCCCCCCACTATATAAAAATTCACCTTACGCCACTTCGCTTTTACAAAAGACTTACATTACTATAGACTTACTTACTAATGTAAGTACCTGCTTTCATTAACCAAAAGAAACCTGAAGAGGATTTTTGCTTTTGTGAAAATAGCATTCCTGTATGTAAACAGCTGGCTTGGGGGCGCGTGCATCCCACTGACGTTGGCTCAGTAGTTAAAAACCAGGTCAGTGATGCTAGCTGGGCACCAGTCCCCTGCAATCATCTCGGGAACCTCAGGGACACAGTAGTCCAGGAACTTGACGTGCGACGTGCCCAAATCGGGAGGCAGGTCAGGGTCACAGTTCAGGGTGCTGGAGCCCAGGCCAGCAGGGCCAGGGGCAGCCTGGTCAGAAAGCCCAGCAACTCCTTCCCCAACGCCACTGTCTCCTCCTCGCCTTCCTCTGCTGCTGCCCCCTCCCCGTCCTCTTCCTCTTGCTCCTCATCCCCTGACGGTGTTGGGGAGGCAGGTATCAGGGAGGCGGTGGTAGCTACCTCCCCCTCACCAGGAGCATCCCCCACAGCTCCCACTCGGGTTTTATGTGTTATTTGGTGTGATTAGTAGGTTACTTTTTGGGTCTGGGAACACTCAACATTTTTTCCCTTATGGATTAATGGTAATTCTTTTCTTTATGCCACTTCAGCTTACGAAAGGCTTTATAGTAATATTCTACTTTGGGATAGTGAGGGAAACTTGTACAGAATCGCTCTTGGCGCAACAGTTGAATGCAAAAACCTTATCAGATCATCTCAAGTGAAACCATTAAGCTATGTTAGGTCTGCTTATTTCATAGTGTAATTATGTCTTATTAACACCAATGACTTGGATTAATGATCCAATCTCTTTACTAGACCCAGCCACTTATCGATTATATCGTGCACATTTTTTCAGTTTATAAATCTAAATCTTAGAACCCTTTAGGATCATGGCAGTAATTAAACACAAGTCTTACACCGCAGACTTCAAACTGAAAGTCCTTGCGAGGGTGGGAGAAACAAGCAACAGAAAGGTAGTGAGAGAGTTTAAGGTTGGAGAGTCACCCATTCGTGAATGGAGAAAGGAGAAAAAGGAGCTGGAAAAAATGAACCCTTGAAAACATGCATGTCGTGGGCCCAAAGCAAAATGGCCTGAGTTAGAGAACGATTTGAAAGAGTGGATTATTTCTCGAAGGGAACAAAATCAAGCTATCTCAACTGTCACAATTCAGATTAAAGCAAAGCTTCTGGCAAATGAAAGAGGAATCCCAGATTTCAAGGCAGGTTTCACCTGGATTTCTAAATTCATGAAAAGGAATGGCCTTTTCATGAAAATGAGAACCACTATAGGCCAGAAACCTCCAGATGATAATAGTGATGAGGGATCGGACTTTGAAGGATTCCAGGAGTTGGATGATGATGGTGATGGTGATGGTGATGGTGATGGTGATGGTGATGGTGATGGTGATGGTGATGATGATGAAGAAGAAACAAACATGGCCTATTTTAAGATGAAAACACAATTTTTTTGGTGACTTTTATTTGTTGATTTCAAAGACATCAATTAGCAAAAATTATGTTCCAGTTTAAAATTTATGAAAGCAAGAAAATATAAACATCATCTTGTTTTTGTAGTTTTAGGCCTAGGATCATTTCTGAGTTACTAATTTCTAGCTCTTTGTGCATTCATACTTTTTGGTTTCAGCATGGCATCCCGTTTCCATCATGAGCTCATTCAGTTCACCATTGCTTGCACTTGGTTTAGGAAAATAACCTACCTTAAATGAAGTTCCCATAAAATCAGTTTTATTCAGATAACATTAAGTCCATTGGACAGGAAAAAAATTGAAATTGACGTCAGCAACAAGTAAAGTATATTGGTATAGCACACTTACGAAAATAACATAGGGTGCATGCCTTAAAAATGTATAATGTATTATTTGTGTAAGAATATGGTATTTGGGTGTTTGGACCCTCAGGTGGGGGCTAGCCGGAGGTCCATTGCTTTCCTTTGTCCCTACTGCCTACTCTCCCCAGGTCTGGGACTAGGGTAAGCAAAACAAGGGGCCCAGGGTGCAAGATGTAAGAAGCCTTCACTCTTTGGTTCACTCGCCCCACCTAAGTCACAGCCCTGCTCCATCTCACTCATTCCTGAAGGGCAGAAGCCCAAGGTTCAGTCAGAGAGGTGGGTAGGGCCCTCTAGAAGAGAATTTCAGGACTGGGCTGAGCTCTGATTTATAGAGTGATTGCACCAGCCCTCCAGACTTCGGACCTACAGGCAGGGGCAGATGTGTAGGATTTCCTTTTTTCCAGTGTATCAATAAGTAACAAAAGGGTTTGCTTTCTCCTTCTACCAGGGGAAGAGAAATTTGAGAACCAGGAGGAAACTTCTCAGTCTGTTGCCCCTAAGAACACTCATCCTCAGGACCTTCCTGGCCAGGCAAGAGGGGAGGTGCCCTGGAGTCCTGAGCAGGGAAGACCTCGTGACAGGTCAGAAGGGCATTGGGACCCTCCTCCCCCAGAGGATCAAAAGGAGCAGTCCTTAGTTGGGGCCACAAGTTGCAGAGAACTGGAGCGACCAAAGGAACTGCAGCCAAAGAAACTCCATTTATGTCCCTTGTGTGGCAAAAATTTCTCTAACAACTCAAACCTAATTAGGCACCAGAGAATACATGCAGCAGAAAGACTGTACATGGGTGTGGAGTGTGGTGACATCTTCGGTGGGAACTCACATTTTCTGTCACTACACAGAGCACAGCTGGGAGAGGAGGCCCATAAGTGCCTTCAATGTGGAAAAAGCTTCAGTCAGAATACCCACCTGACTCGCCATCAGCGCACACACACCGGTGAGAAGCCCTATCAATGCAACATATGTGGAAAAAGCTTCTCTTGCAATTCCAACCTCCACAGGCACCAGAGAACACACACAGGCGAGAAACCCTATAAGTGCCCTGAGTGTGGGGAGATCTTTGCTCATAGTTCCAACCTTCTTAGGCACCAGAGAATTCACACTGGAGAGAGACCCTATAAGTGTCCTGAGTGTGGGAAAAGTTTCTCTCGTAGTTCACACCTTGTCATACATGAAAGAACTCATGAGAGAGAGAGACTTTATCCCTTCTCTGCATGTGGGGAAGCAGGGAGTGACTGTACCCCCTTTCTTACCAATCATGGTGCCCCCAAGGTAGAAAAGAAGCTCTTTGAATGTTTGACTTGTGGGAAAAGCTTTGGGCAGGGCATGCACCTCACCAGGCATCAGAGAACGCACACAGGAGAGAAACCATATAAATGTACCCTTTGTGGGGAAAACTTCTCTCATAGATCCAACTTAATCAGGCATCAGAGAATTCACACGGGAGAGAAACCTTACACCTGTCATGAATGTGGAGACAGTTTCTCTCACAGCTCCAATCGGATCCGTCACCTGAGAACCCATACAGGAGAAAGACCCTACAAATGTTCTGAGTGTGGAGAAAGCTTTTCTCGGAGTTCACGCCTTATGAGTCATCAAAGAACTCACACTGGATAGAAACAATGGGATTTCTCTGACCCAGATAAGGTGACATATTAGAGAGTCCTGTTTTTATGAATTGGTCTTCCTTGCCCAACTGACCAAACAACCTCTACGTTTTTAAGGTAATTACTATAAAGAAGAAAGGGAGAGGGGTGGTCATTGTGAGAGAGGTGCAGAGGCAGTAAAAGATTATCATAAAACTAAAAGGAATTGTGCCTGAACTGTCAAGGATGGAAAGTCTCTGAGGTGATGTGCTCAGGGTGGAGTTCTCCAATAAGTCTGTCCTGTCCCAAAGTGCACCCACCCTTTCAGTGTGTTTATTATCCAAGATGTGATTTGGATGCCTTCCTGTGTCCCGTGTCTATCCCAACAACTTTGGGAATCCATGTGATCTTTCTGTTATTATTTCTTCCCTTGGGACATTCAGCAGGAGTATTTAGGCTCCAAGGCCCTTGAGACCAAAGAGGAGAGGCGAAGTTTCTTGGGAAATCAGCTGGAGGCTAACAAAAGACAAGTTATGAGTTGCAGCTCTCCCAAAGGCCCTGGCTGGGAAGCCATGGGCAGTCCAGGTCAGCCACCACTGTGCCCCTCAATGGCCTGACAGGAGGACTCATTGGAAGGCCACACATGTCAGTATCCTCTCAGACAAGGAAACAGAGACCTAAGGGAATAGTAATTGGCAGAGGAAGCAGAAGTCTGAATTAGTCTACCCTTTGCAGAGCTCTGTATTTTGCCCTACCTCTGCCAGAAAAAGATGAACAGAGCTTCAGTCTTGCTCCTGAGTCGAGCGTTCCATGAAAGTCGGGAGTCCATAGAAAATTGAAAATGTGGGTTCCAGTGAAATTAGGGATTATGTTCTTCCCTGTCGAGCATATGTTTGGATGGTAATAAATATCTTAAGGAAACATGAAAGTGTACGAGTCTTCATTGAGGGGCTTTGCATTGCCCCTCAGTGTTGATCTGTCTCCCCTCTGCTTGGTTAGAGGATCTGCTTTTCTCTTTGTGGTCTTACTGGGTTGGTCAGGAAGGTTCTGAGAAAGGTGGCAGCCAACAGAGGCAGGCAGTGTATGGGTCTGATGAGCTCCAGGGCTGGGACTCGTACATGGTAACAAAAGTTCAAATCCACTGCTTCTCAGGGTGATGTCATAAGGTTATCTGAGTGGTACTCTTCCCTTCTATGGTGTACAGCAGTAAAATTTTTTCTGTTCACCTAACAATAACAACAATTCTTTGGAACAGTCCATTTGGGCAACGTCTAACCACATATATGTCCATGGTCCCGTGAGGTTTTTTTTGTTGTTGTTGTTGTTTTAAAAGGGAAAACATCTCTCCTTTTGTTTATTTTTCTTATTGTTAGGTGCTGTCGAGTCATTTCCAACTCAGCCACCTCATGTACAACAGAACGAAACACTGCCCAGTCCTGTGTCATCCTCACAGTCCTCGTTAGGCTTGAACCCATTGTTGCAGCCACTGTGTCAGTCCATCTCGTTGAGGGTCTTCCTCTTTTTCGCTGACCCTCTACTTTACCAAGCATGATGTCCTTCTCCAGGGACTAGTCCCTTCTGGTAACATGGCCAAAGTATGTGAGACAAAGTCTCACCATCCTCGCTTCTAAGTAGCATTCTGGCTGTACTTCTTCCAAGACACATTAGTTCATTCTTCTGGCAGTCAACAGTGTATTCAGTATTCTTCACCAACTCCATAATTCATAGGCATCAATTCTTTGGTCTTCCTTACTCTCTGTCCAGGTTTTGCATGCATATGAGGTGATTGAAAACACCATGGCTTGGGTCAGGCACACTTTAGTCCTCAAAGTGACATCTTTGCTTTTTAACACTTCAAAGAGGTCTTTTGCAGCAGATTTGCCCAGTGCGGTGCATCGTTTGATTTCTTGACTGCTGCTTCCATGGGCCCACGGATGTATTCCAGGAGTAGGAAATTCTAATGCCAGGACAATATGACCCTGGAGGAAGGTATCTAACTAGTTCTTTGGGGGAAAAAGGTGATAAAACATTCCATCGTCAACAGGCTATCAAATATGGTGATAAGTAACAGAAACAACCCCACACCTTTCCTTCCCTTTCCTTATCAGTCTTGTCTCAGCCCTGCCCCAGTTTAGTATGAGTTTTTCTGAGCCAGATTTAAAAGTCTTACGGTTTCTCATTTCTTTCCCTTTGTTTCATCCACCTTGTTCACAGGAGGAGGGTAGTGGTTGTGTGGGGATTGAGGGGCAGCGGAGGAGGTGAGGATTAGAGAGACAGGTTAAAGCAGGCCCACCAGTGGTGGGAGCAGTGCCAAGGTCCAGCAGAGCAGGGCAGGGCTGATGTGGCTGCTGATGCCCTGAGATGTGTGGGGTGGTTGTAAAAATGGCGTGGGGGATGGCTGACCTCATCTGACTTTACAAGGAGGGAGGATCGTCAGCATCAGCCTAAGGCTGATTCCTATGAGGTAGAGGTCAAACATACCTCCACCCTCCAAACTTTTTACCAGTTTGGACATCAGTCATCTCTCCCACAACACTCTCTACTTTTCTGCTGGGTTTGATAATTCTTGTAATGGCCACATAGAATTCACAAACCATACTTAAATGGTTTATTAGGAAAGTAACAGGTTACAACTCAGGATCAGGATCAACAGGCTACAACTCGGGGTCAGGATCAGGAAGCAAGTAGGCAAAGTCTTCCTTCAGTGCAGGACAGTTCTCTCAGCTCCTTTTGGCCATGCAGGGCTCCTCTCAGCCCCCTTTGGACAGGCCTTATTTTTCAGCCCTTGGCCCCACTTGGGCCTAGCCTCTGCCCTGCTCTGGCAAGTGTTGCAAAACTCTTTAACTCTGCTGATAAGTGCCCAGAGGCAACCCACTCTACCGGGATGCCTCTGCTCAAAGCCACTCAGCTCTGGCTCCATGGGTCGGCAAGCCTAGCTCTGCTGACAAGTGCCCAGAGGCAGCCCTCTGCCAGCAAGCCACCTGCCTGAAAGGCGAAGGTGCTGGGCTCTCCTGCTCCATGGCTGAACACTCCCACTGTAGCCACTTGCTCTGTGGGCCACGAAGCCCACTCTGCGGTCTCGTGCCAGTCTCCTGGTTCTGCTGTTGCCAGTGCTCTGCCACTGCTTCTCGCCATCTTGTACCATCTCTAGTGTTACAGCTCTAGCTCCTGGGTCTAGGAGGTTCTCAGCACAGGGACCCTGGGTCCAAAGGACATGGTCCACTTCTCATTCTTTCTTGATGGTAGTGACGTCCCCTCTCTACTCTGGGATTGGCTCTTTTAAGCCTAGTGGGATGGCAAAACTGACCAATCCCTTTGTTAGGATTTCATACACCTTATTTGCATGATCCCACTCCCATAGGGTTTCTACACACTTTATTTGCATTCTTAGCAGGCTGTCCAATCCCCTTGGTGGGCCACAGTCAGCTTATTTGCATAGTCCAACCTAATCATTGTGTGAGAGGTACAAGACCATGCATGGCTAAAAGAGCCATGTTAAGTAATTCACTGCACCACAGTGGTGTAGAGTTGATGTTATTAGTAAGTACTGTCTCTGGTTAAGATGACAACTTACATGGATGGTAAGTCTCGAAAGAATGGAAACCCCACCTTCCCCCCATCTCCCAAATATCACCATTGGTCACCCACACAGGTCTCAAATACGATGTGGTCAGGCTGATGTTGCTCCTACTCTAGCACTGTGAATTAATGCTAGAGCAGCTAAGGTGTTCCCCTTAGGCACTAGAAAGGCTTTCCAATAGGGGCCTTCACCCAGTCCCCCAATCTAACTCCCCTTCTGGCCAACTTCACATGCATAGCTGTCCTCAGCCTTGCTTTAATGAGATGAAGAGACACAAGATACTGCATGCAAAGCAATTAGCACAGTGCCTGTCATGGAGAAAGCACTCATCTATCGTGCCAACTGTGGGCAGAAAACACTAGTAAAAGATTTCTGTCTTGTAAGCACTTGGCTTTGGGGTCATTGTAAGACCACGCTGACAGGAGTTTCTGAGAACAAAGCCCTTAGCGCCTGGGGTGAGACAGAGATGAAGAAGTCACTGAATTGCTTGATTTTTTTCCCCCCCAGAAAAACACATCAGAAATCACTTCGTTTAAAAATGTTACTGCAGTAATGGAAAAACTTAAGGGTCTCAACGTCATAATTAGAAATTGGAGGTTTTAGACTCAGCACCCTTCTAAGAAGAGTTTAATAACTTTACTGTTGAATCATTACATCAGCTGATAGAATTTTGAAATGTGCAAAATCACCACCACTGCTTAAGACTTGTAATTTATGTAAATGTTTCACAAACCTTTGAAACAACTAAGTCATATGAAGGGTCTTAAGTCGTGTTACAGGAAAACCAACAAGCAAATTTATCAGCACAAGAATTCCTATCTTTGGGTGTCAGGAGCTCAAGAACAAGGTGAATTAAAGCCAAAATGCATTTGTTTTGAAGCGTTTTCTTCTAGCCTTCAATCTAGCTTGCAAGCACTTTTGATTAAAAATTGACTTTCATTCTTGAGAGACTGACATTTCCTTCTGATCATGTGATTTGTACTAAGAGCGGCTCATACGCGTTCCTTCCACAAGAGTAAAGGTTTAAGGGCAGCTTCTTGCCTGACACTGGTACCCGGTGGAGGAGGCAGTGGGAATGGTCCGGGTAAATTCAACCATGATACGAAATGGATGATGAAAAATTGCTCAGACCACAACAAAACGTTCTGACAGATGTGCCAGTTAATGTTAATATCCTCAATCCATCAGTGAAACACCTTGAGTGTACCAGAAGCTTCAGTCAGAAATCCGAACTGGTGACTCACAAGGATCCAAACTTGCTTCAGGGAGATAGTGCGACTTCCCCAGGCGGAAAGGGTGGGTTAGGAAAACATTAAATATCTTCCTGAAATCTATACATTATATGAGGAATTGTTTAACTCTCCGTCCACACTCCCCTCTTAAGGCCAGGAAAGCTCCTTTCCACACCTTAGGTGTCCGTTCGCACTCCTAGGGTAAAGTTGGGCAAGCGGCCCTTGAAGGAATCCCCCGCTTTCCAGGGAGGGGTTTAGGGATGTTGCCCCAGCAACCTGAACAAGAGTGGGCTGCGGGCTTCTCGGAGGGGCTCTAATCCTCAGGAATGACTTCCAGAACCAAAGACTTCGGTTTTCTCTCAGGCTTGGGCAAAGCCAAGAAATCGGCAGCTCCCACAGCCTGGAACCAGGTCAGACATTTAAAGGGGCGGGTCGCCTCAGCGGTCCGGAGCAGCCCGCCGGCCCTGCCACACCTGCTGTCTCCACTGAAGATGGCGCCGGTGCCCTGCGGCCCGGACCCGGGGGTGGGAAGGCTGGCGGGGCTCTCGGCGGCCGCGTCCAGACAGACCTTCTCCTGCTTCCCCTCCGCCCAGGGCCTCAGTGCTGCCGCTCCCCCTCACCCGTGGCTTTGTCCTCGGGCGGCAAAGCCTGTCTCCGCCCGCCCGGCTGCGCCCGGGGGCCGGGAGCGCGCGCCCACCGGCGCGCCCCACAGGTTCCCCGCCCCGCCCTCCGGCGCCGGCCGCTCTGGCCCTGCGGCGGCACTCTGTGGTCGCGCTCTCGCTGCCGGCGCCGGCCACTTAGGCCCGGTTCTACAGCCGGAGATGTTCCTTCTCCCTTCATCCGACCCTGGTGTGGGGCACGACACTACTACCCGAAACTTTCCGGCCCCTCAACTGTGCGTGCGCCAACCAGGTGCCGAGAGCGGGGCTCGACGTCTGGGCCGGCCCTCACGGTCCGGCAGGAGGCGGGGGCCCGGCGCGGTGATGGGCGCGCTCAGAAGGCGGGGGGCATGGGTGGGGTGGCCTTGGGGAAAGAGACGGATAAGGGGCTGGGCAGGGTGGGCCCGCAGGCCGCCTTCAGGGTTTGGTCTTTGTCAAAATGCAGTGGGAAGCTCAGGAAGCAGGGGAGGCACTACTTGTAGTTGTTTTTAGTACGCTTGCCCTGGCTACAGGTTAGGGAAAGATGAGCAGGGCAGGTAGACCAAAGAGGCAGGTGCCCTCATCGAGGCAGGCGGTGATGGTGGCCTGGACCAGGACAGGGGCAGTGAGGAGGGACAAGTGGAGGCAGAGCTGAGAGACATTCAGGAGGTAGAGCTGTCAGGACTCTACATAGGCGGGTGCTAAAATCTTGGGATGACCCTCCCTTCTCCTCTAAGGCCATTGAAAATCTGGCTCTAACCTGTCTTTCCTGCTGCCAGCAGCCCCCTATCGCAACCATCCAGGGCCCCTGCAGCTTCCCAGGGCGATGCACTCTGACACCGAAGAGGCTGTGCTCATTCCCCCCTTGACCTGGCCTGCCCTTGTAATTAAGCTTTAAAGCCCAACTCCAAAGTCGCACTGACCGTGTGATACTTCCCCTGCTAGTCAGGCAAGTGCTCTCAAAACCCTCTCCATAGTCAGCTCCAATCCCGAGCACATTCAGCTGTGCATTGTTTCTATTCGTTATTCAGGTCTGAATCACCAAGCTCACGTAGATGGACGTACGCGGGAAAGCAAAGGGATGTTTCCAGAATCAGTGAGTGCTTTTGAAAACGATGGTCACTCATTCTGGGAACTACCATTGAAAAAAAGATGGTTTGGTGCAAAGACCCAGATTAAAAGGTACTAGAGAGCTGTTCAAACAGCAACGATTGTGAGCAGGACCTGGCAGTGTTTCATTCTGTTGTACATAGGGTTACTGTGAGTCAGAATCCACTTGAGGGCACCTAACAACAAGACAACTGTCCAGTCCAGTGTCTTCACCTAACATCCCCTTCAACTTTTTCCAAAATCCATTCTATCCCATGCTTGAAAAGTGTTTCAAAGGAGCAAAACACCAAGCTAGGGAGAATTACTTAACTCCTTAACCCCACCCCCAGCTTGCTGTCATTCTGAATAAATCTCCCCGCACCCCCCGCAAAAAAAAAGTCACACTGCTTGATGTTAAAGGTCTCCCTTCCAGCTTCCATTAGGCTGCAGGTTTAATCAACCAAGGAAGCAAGAAGACAGTGAAAAGGGTGCACGTTGACAATATTATTTTTTTCTGTAAGTTCTGGGTAACAAAAACAAGATATATAAAAAAATAACTACTGAGTTGATTTACGAGGTAAAAATATCAGCAATAACTAATAAAAAAGGTTCTCTTTACAATATACTTAGAAATAACCTTAATAAAAAATGAGTACTCTGTTAAAACTATTTACAGCTTGAATGGAAACATGTCAATTCAAATTAATTTTAAATTGTAATAAATTCCCAAAGGGATTTAGTGAAGAGGGGATGAATAAATTTTATGCTGAAGTTGATTTGGAAGAATAGGTAAGAATAGCTTGGACATTTTTGAAAACAAAGAGTAAGGGGGTAATTGCCTTATCAGATATTAAAAGATATTAGTGATTAAAATGGTAAGGTACTAGAGCAAGAACAGACACCAGTACTCCTTTTAATCACTGATTTTATATCATAGTTCCCTAATATTGACAGATCAGTGGAACAGAATGCACACTTCAGAAATAGATTCTTGAACTTAATATATGAAAAAGGAACATTAAAAGCCAATAAAGAACCAATTATCCTAACAAAGCTCCTGAAAAAGTTAGCTACCTTCAAATGTCAAATACTCACCTGACACCTTATACTAAAATGGGGAACAGCCATAAAAATACCTTTTGGTTATAACATTAGCAAAAACTAATAGCAGCTAAGAATATTCAATGCCGGGATTGGTGCATTGGCAGAACTTTCAAACTCCTGGTGGAAATGTGAAAAAACAATTTAAAAATGTGTATCAAAAGTTAAAAAAAAAAAAAAAAATTCATACTCTCTGACCTGGTAGTTTAACTTCTAATAACCCATTTTAATGTAATAGTTTGAAATTTTCTGCCAGAAGTTGCTCATATTTACTTTGAAAAAATAGGAAGCAAACACTTGTTCAACAGAATGGTTCATTCAACTCATTCAACTGATATGGTACAGCCCATGGTGGAGTATTACAAAGGCATTAAATTTGAGGTTTGTGAAGAGATTTTAATGACATGGAGAAATTCTGAGAGTGAAGCATTATGGTTAAAAAAAAAAAAAAGCTTGAGCTTTGGAGTTAAACAACCCAAACAAAAACTAAATCCATTGCCACGGAGTCAATTCCAACTCATAGAGACCCTAAAGGACAGAGTAGAACTGCCCCATAAGGTTTCCAAGGAGCACATGGTGGATTTGAACTGCCAACCTTTTGGTTAGCAGCCTAGCTCTTAATAACTACAACACCAGGCTCTTTGGAGTTAAGTAGAATTATTTAAATCTTGTCTCTGCTATTTACTAGCTGTGTGACCTTGATCAAGTTGCTTAACCTTTCTAAACCTGTTTCCTTATCTATTTAAAAGAAGGGGAAAAAAGAAAAAGAAAAAAAGGAGGGGGTGATTGTTATGAAAAATAAATTTAAAAATATATAAAATATACCAAAGCGTTAAGAAAGGCTACCATTGGTTGATAGAATTTGGGTAATTTTTATCTTCTTTATGATTTTCTATAATCAGCATATATTACTTCCACATAAGAGGAAAACAAACACTAAATAGCTGGTTAAGAGATTTAAGAAATCAGAGCATATCATACTATTCAATAAAAAACTCGATCTACCCTTCTCTTAAAGGTAAGGAGAACCAGTTAGCATATGGAACTCCTTTGATATATGCTGTGAATAACGGGTAGAATTTAATGCTTTTCCCACATCCAATCCACCTTAGATAATCTGAGACAATAATTCCTCATTATTCAGATCCTTGTCTAAAACAGAAAAAAAATGTGAATTGTTGAATATATTTATATATTTAAAGAAACATAAATTTATTGTTTTCAAACTGTTTCATAACCAATATGTAAGTGGGCATTGATACACAAAATGAGGTAAATTGATAAACAGTAACAATTTACATCCTATGTTATAACTGCAAAAAGCTTTAAACACAAAATCTAATTATTAGAACCAGAAGTTGAAGGCATGTTGAAGGAATCCTTAATATTATGAGGCCTAGGTTTCAAAAAGCTACCAATTCTAGAATGGATTCTAGTCTGGAACTGTTTCTTGATTATTTCTTGTTGCATCTCTTTCAGCATGAAATGGAACCTTTGAAACTCAGGTGTGGCATCAACAAAATCAAGAAGGTAGTCCAAACTGTCTCTTACAGTAGATAATTTAAATGCAGCAGGCTGCTGATGTTCTTCATCAGTTCCTCCTCCTTTCGGAACAATTCCCTTTGTAATTCCACCTTTTGTTTTTGGGGGGCAACCTTTTTTTTCATCATCCCCATTTAACCACACCCTATCATCATCCAACTTGGTTTCCAACTCTCCGCATTTCTCAAGAATATCTTTATAATCCCCATCATATAAGCCTTGAAGATCATATTCAGGTTCCTTTTTGTAAAGAAGATTTTCCCATGCACTTGCTATGGTTATTTGGCTTACTTCATCCCAACTTTTTGCCCAGTTAAAAACTGCACATTTTATGTTACAGGTTTTAATCTTGGAAACTCCTTTTTCTCCTTTGTCTTGCTCATCATCACTTTCTTCAAAAATGACAAGACTCTCTTCAAGTTGCTTCCACCTATAAAGTCGTTTGCAGCTTAAGATCACACCTTGATTCATTGGTTGAATCAAGGTTGAAGTGTTATGGGGAAAGAACATACATTTTATTCGCCCATCCTCACTGGTTAGTGCTTCAGCAGAAAGGTGAGCTGGGGAATTATCCAGAAGTAACAATGCCCTGACTTCCTCTTCATGGAATCTTAGAACGTTAAGTTGAAAATGCCTGACCTCTGGAACAAAGTTTTGAAAGAACCATTCTGAAAACAATTCTCTGGTGAACCAAACATCTTTACTAGGTTTATATATCACAGGTAACACACTTGTGTCCTCTTTCACACTTTTGGGCAGCTTTGATTTTCCAATTATGACCGATTTTAACTTATGAGTCCCATCTGCATTTGCACACAAAAGGGCAGACAACCGTTCCTTGTTTATTTTCTTCCCTGGCATACAGATATCTTTTCTGCTCGCCTGAGTGTTTTCTGGCATTGATTTCCAAAAGAGGTCAGTCTCGTCCCCACTGTATAGCTGAGCTAGACGCAGTTTCTCCTCTTTGATTATCATGGACAGTTTTTGTCGAAACGGCTCAACACTTTCTGAAACTGAACTTAGGACTTGTTCTCCACATACTTTTCGGTTCCCAATTGCATGCCTATTTCGAAACCTAAAAAGCCAACCAGTGCTGGCTTTGAAGTCTGTTCGCCCAAAACACTGTGCGAATCTCTCGGCAGCTGCCTGAAGCTCCACGCCTCTAACAGGGACACCAGCTGAGCGTTTCTGTTGGTACCACATGTAGACTGCATTGTCCACATCGCCATATTTGGCTCCCGTTGTCCTCTTTCTCTTCTCAGCCCCTACTAATGGCATGTCCTGCTTAAGTACAAAGTCCAAAATCAGTTTCTTATTCTTTTTAATGTCATAAAATGTTGATTTACTGATTCCAAATTCATCCATTACACTCTTAAGAGATCGTCCAGCTTCAATCCTACTTAGAACTTTCATTTTCTCTTCCAAATTTAGTGTTGTATATTTCCCTCTCTTATTCATACTGAATTTGATTCAAACAACCAACAAGAGAAAAGAAAGGATAAAGTTCTACTGAATTGGAAAAAAAAAATTTTTTTTTCAAACTAGCTCAAAGCCCCAGAAGGCACAGGCATTTGTACTAGAGAGTAATTAAGAGATGAAGGCTCATGAATCTAGAGGTAGAGTCTTATAAACTCAGAAAGATGCTATTGCTGAAGGTCCTGTAAGGCTGTTGCTCCTGCAAGACATGGGTAGTCAGTTGGAAATCCCCCTGCTCCTTTTCTCCTTCAACAGATACAGCAGCACCAATCAAGAAGAACAGGAACACCTACATAGTCTTCCTAACTCAACAAAGGAAAAGGGATAAAAGGAAGACAGGAGGCATTGAGCAAGGTGTAGCCCCAAGAACAGACCCAGGTGGGAAAGTCTCAATAAAAAATGGTGCTTGAGAAGAAAGGAGTGTGAAAGACTCAAAGTCAAAAATAATGTTGTATAGCAGAGATGCAGTGTGGCTTTTCCCCTTCCAAAATGGCTTGATTTTACCTCACTGCCTAAAAAGAAAATGGTGCTCATATTTCTCCGTAAGTAGTGTTCACTGGGCAGCAGTCCATCTACCTAAAGACTCCAAGCTATAAGAACCCTGACATTGGGATGTCTGGAGAGCGCCAATTTGAGAATGCTTGCATAGAATCTTAAGGTGAAGAAGAAAGTTAGAAGGTTCTGTTGAACAACTTTTATTGCATTCAATCCAGCATTCTCAATGTCTGAGCTTTAACTTGAGTATCTCTTATGCTTACCAAGGTAATCTGTAAGTATGTAAATGATTTGTTAGTGGCACTTTTCTACTCTCAGATCTTCCTTGTAGACATCTGGTGTATTCTCAACTGCTATTCTTCACTGAAACTGTTCTCCTGATTTGGGATATTATCAAGTTTCAGAATCATGGCAGTTCTTAGCGAGGAGTATAAAAGTTTTAGAAATATTTTTCCATAGTTTCTCACCTTTCACTTGTTTTCTTAAATTTACTTAGCATTTTAAGTAATGTACTTTTCATATTTGAGACTTTGATTTCTCTTTAATGTAGATTTTGCTTAATTTGAACTAAGACTCAACTTTCCCACTGCCTGAAGAAATTTAAAAGGTTTCTCTACTGGTGTTTCTGATAAGTTGTTTCCCATAAATCCTTCTTTTGGCAAACTTTTCCGTAGCTCTGTGTCCTCAAATACTCCTTTCAGGTCCTGGTGCTGCCCAATGCCATTCCAGGTCCTTAGAAATCTCATAGTCTAGATTAATTTCATGGTTCTCATTCCAGATACCCAACCTCATGGGAAGAAACAAAAACTGCCACTTTCTTCCATTCCAGGTGCTATGAAGAAAGAAAAGTATGTCAGATAAATGAGGAAAATAATTGGTAACTCAGTTATTTTTCTTCTCCTTTAAGGGCAGAGCCTAACTGGCTTTCATCCATTCCCCAACTACATAGAACTCTCTCAAGTCTCTTGTCTAAGACCCTAAATGAGTTGAAACCTTTGTTTTTCCTCTAACTTTTGTTCAAGAAATGCGAACTTTGAGTTATGTAGCACTAAAAGGATAGTGAAAGAATAAGACAGTAACTAGGATGTGGGGGCAATGAAAGCCTAGGATCAATTAACTTTCTAAAAGAGGCAGTTATAACTAAGGCAGTTAGTAAGTGATAACTATTATAAATGAGGGAGAGGGGGTGGTATTTTTTAGCCAGTAGCAGCACCACTAACTCCAGCCAATCACCCACCAAAAATATTCAGTCCACCATGGCAGTTGGTTGTCTCAGAATAAACTGAATACACTTGCTTTCACTGCTTCCCAGCTGCACATTCATCATTTCCACAACAGTGCCCAGATAGGGGAAGGTCAAGTCAAAAAGAAAGACTTAGGGGACTTTTGTGGGCTCTACAGCAAGAGTAGGCAACTATGGCACCAAACCTCAAACAATGAAAATCATCAGTGGCCCTCAATCACTATGCACCATTTGTGTGTTACTTCTCTTCTTCCTTCCACAGGGTGTCCCCATACCCCCTCAATCATCTCCCTGTCTATAAATCTGGCCTGTCAGTGACATCCAAGGGCACTGCTTGGCACTGTTGGCAGCACTCATTTATTCAATTTGGTAAGTTCTAATTATATGCTCAGTGTCAGGCCAGGTGATGAAAATGTCAATGATAAGGGCACTGGTTCTGAAACACTGGAAATAATAATTATTTTTGAAGAAATTAAGTCCCAATCTGACTGAGAGTCTAAGGAAGTGAACCTGCTTTGTCACATATTCAAGTGACTTTGGCAGGTGTTCATTATTATTGCTTCTCTTTAGTTCCCTTTCCCTCATTCAAAAAGGATCAAGATCTATGCCTCAGAGGAGTGAACACCATACTATCCAAAAACAAAAACAGCATAATGGACTTCGTCTTATAATGACCTCCCACCTTCATTCTTACTTTAAACTTACCTCCAGATGAATTGCCGTAGTAGGGGGCAAAAAAAAAAAAACACAAACCCATTGCCATCAAGTAGGTTCCGACTCATAGCGACCCTATAGGACAGGGTAGAAATGCCCCCGTAGAGTTTCCAAGGAGCGCCTGGTGAATTCGCACTGGTGACCTTTCGGTTGGCAGCCACAGCACTTAACCACCACACCACCAGGGTTTCTGCTTAGGGGAAAGCTCCCTCAAAAACCCTCAAGCGGTGCTCCATGGTCTTCTTTCTTTAATGCAATCTCCTCATTCCCATTCAAAGCACTCCACAATATGGTTCACACAAACTTATTTTCTAACTTCTTTTTTTTTTTTTTACTCTTCCTCTAAGTGTAGCCCAATAGTATCAGCAAAAATGGATTACAGATTTTCTCACACTCAAACCTTTGCTCTTATCAATCCCTCAGCCTGGAATGTGTCCCCACTCCCTGTTGGGAGCAAAATCCCTCAAGGTCTTTTATAAATTTCTCCAATCAAAATTCAAATTTTATTTCCTTGGAATTCTCATAGCGTTCAGCTAATGTCTTACCTTTTACTACTTTCTGTTACTGATAGTCATGAAATTGTCTCAGTCGTTTTACTAGATTACTTGAGGACACACTTTGTCCTATCCAACCCTAACACTGGCTACACATAGTAGACTTAATAAATAATCCCTTGATTGGTATAGGTTGACACTATGAAAACACTGATAATTAGGATAATACTACCAGATATACTCAGATTCTTATAAATATGATTCATAAATATTTATGGGATGCCTACCTTATCCAGAAGGAGCCCTGGTGGGGCAATGCTTAAGCACTTGGCTGCTAACTGAAAGGTTGGTGGTTTGAACCCACCAGCTCCTCTGGGAGGAAAATGTGGTAGTCTGCCTTCATAAAGATTTAAAGGCTTGGAAACCCTCTGGGGCAGTTCTACTCTGTCCTATAGGGTCGCCATGACTCCATTGCATTGGGTTTGGCTTTTTTTTAACCTTACTCAGAGCAGTGCAGTAGACACTGCGGGAAATACAAGGTAAAAACAAGGTCCTCCTGCGAAGTGTACGGTGGTGGAAAAAGCGCAAGATATGACAACAGGAGACCTAATTTCCAGTCTAGGATCTGCCACTGGTAACCGATGTGACCCTGAGGAAGTCAATTCTAGGTCTCAATTTTTCTCTCAAGGAGAAATATAAATGGTACCTATCTCACAAGCTAAAACTTACCTCACAAGAATATCGCATAATCGTTATGATGGACGCGCCACGCGAACCAGAAAACGGTACAAAACCGCAAGGGATCGTTGTTGCTGATCTAGCGAGGGGCCTGACCGAGACAAAACTGTCTCTTACTCGTGTCCAACGACTACAGTTCGAGCCCCCGCTGTCGGGGCCGCAGGGAGGCCGCGAGATCAGGCGCGCAGTGGAGGAGCGACCCTTACTGGGCGAGACCCCCGGTACCAAACGCCTCAGGCCGCCCGAAAGCGACGCAGAAACGTTCTGGACGAGCAACACCCTGCAAAGCGGGGACACGAGACGGGGACACCCACGCGACAAGGCGCTTCCAGGGCTCCTCTTGGCTTTGGCGGGCCCAGAGAGGCGGTGACACGAACTCTTTCTTGCAGGACAGCAGTTTCTCCAGGGAGGGAGAGAGACGCAGCACACGCTGACCGAGCGCAGCTGAGACCCCTCAGTAACAGGGCGGGGCTGGACTGCTGCGGGGCCGCCGAGGATGCGTCAGTTCCGTTTCCGGCTGCGCACGCGGGCCCCAGACTGTGATGTGGGAACAGCTAGTCGGCGCGCAGCCGAGAGGTGAGAGGGTCGGCCGAGCGTGTTGTCCTGGAGGGCTGGCCTCCCGAACCCTGGAGCTTCGCTCGCTGGGGCCAGTGCGCCTCGCCGACCCTGCTTCCGAGTGGCTCAGGGCGGAGAGTTTCGTTCCCCAGAGCCGCGCGGGCGAGCGACAACCTTGCAGTTGAGTCTGAGAAAGAGGGAAGCGGCCGCCACGGAAGCCGAGCTGTTCGGAGGTAACCAGGAAGCCGGTTTCCCCTCGGCTTCAGCTCCGGCGCCCCCTGAGAGACGCCGGCCGCGCTTCGGGGCCGCTGCCTGGCGGGCGGGGGTGGAGGCAGCCATTTTCTGTAGGCGCGGCGACGTTTCCTGGCCGCGGCCCGCCGGACTGTCAGGAGCGAGGCCAACTGTCAGGCTCCGGAAGCCACGCTTTCTACTCTTGGCGCGGATATAAGCCAGGGCTGCGGCGGAAGCTACCTCGGAGACTCTCCGTGTGCACGGTGCCCCTGCACTGTTGTGGTCTGTTCAGAGGACATAGTGAATCCGAGGTGGGGCGGGCAGTGAGGTCCAACACTGCAGCAGAGAAACTTGCCCGGTTCCGCTGGCTGATGCTACCACAGGAGAACGAGTCAGTGCAGCTTCAGAGATACCAGCTTCTGCTGATGACAAAACATAGGAAGTGCCCCAGTGGCTCCTGAGCCAGGGTGGGCAGCAAGGAACTGGCCACTTTGAATACCCGTGGCTTCCTGGACAGAATTCTGGTGCCGTTTCTACTAGACCACCTTAGAGAAAATGGCCCCACGAGGCACTCCTCAGCCTGGCTTAGAGGTCTAAATGACCCTGGGGAAATGTAAAGTCAGAAGAATGTTACCTTGCCTGAAGAACTTTAGTGACCACTTCCTCCCCCTCCCTTTTTTTTTTTTTTTGCCACATCTCTCTCCTCCTGAGCGGCTGGTGGTTTGGAATTGCTGACCTTTCAGTTAGCAGCCTAGGGCTTAACCACTGCAGTCGTCACCAGGTCTCCTGGACATTTGGCTATCTTGTAAACAAAGGCCAACTAGTTTTCTCCTAGTCGAGTAAACAAAAAATTTGAAATAGGTATAAACCATTTGCACAATGATTTTTTTTTTTTTTTTTTGTCTTGCAAAGAACAGTGATGAGCATCTGGTTGCTTAGTTGAGGGACACCTTCTGGGAAGAATAAGGTTACTTTTTCTTTAATTACTATCCTTCTCTATTCTCATTGTCTCAGCTCTTCTCGCAGTATTTATACAGTGGAAAAGAATACCAAATGTTCCACAAAGTGAAGATGTTCATCTTCACAGGGGAATGAAGGGTGGAAGAAGTTGTTTCCCACCTGACTAAAGATCAAGACTGGGATAATCTGTTAAAATTTAGAGAAAGTCAAAATTTCCTTTTACTGTTATTTTCTTATTTTATCCTTATTTTCCTTTGACATTGCAAAAATGAGATAGAAAGCACACAGGTGAAATCTTTGGATAATCCCAAGCTCCTTTCAGCCAATGGGTGCCAGTTTTCTCATCCTCCCAACTTTTCCTAAAATATTAAAAAAAAAAAAGGCCAAGTCAGCGATTGGCATTTGCTGTGCTGTGTTTCAAAGTTAAATAACAAAAGGAAAGAAACAAAGAGCTTGAACGAATCTATCATTATGAGTTACCTATATTTGGAAGTTGATTTTAAAGGGAAGGCATGACAGAACCTTTTCTGTTCATTTTTCTCTGATAATACGTAGCAAGTAATAAGGTTGATGGAAGGAGCCCTGGTGGTGCAGTGGTTAAGTATTCGATTGCTAACCAGGAGATCAGAGTTCAGACCCACCAGCTGCTCCAAAGGAGAAAGATGTGACAATTGCTTCCATAAAAATTACAGCCTTGGAAACACCATAAGGTGGTTCTACTCTGTCTTATATACAGAGTCACTATGAGTCGAAATCAACTCTATAGCAATGGGTTTGTTTGTTTTGGAATAAGATTCATGTGACTTTCTTATTGGCATGTGCTTTTTTCCTGCCTTCTCTACCCTTAGGAGGAAGACACTTACTGGTTTTGTACCAAACCAAATGGGTCCTCAGTTGTCAAGGGTGGCGCTAGGAGTGTAGAGAAGCAAAACTGTTCATACAGCAGAATGATGACAGTAGATCTGAAGGTGGCTACGGACTTGAACCCTCAGATCAGGGCTCTGTGGGAGACCAAGGGATCTGTGACAGAGAGCTCCAGTCACAGTAAGAAATCTTCCCCACAAATGGACAGTCTTCATCCCGAGAGCTCTCGCCGGGACTTCCGGAACTTCCACTACCATGAAGCAGCTGGACCCCTCGAGGCTGTGAGCCAACTTCAGGAATTATGCCGTCAGTGGCTAAGGCCAGAGATCCACTCGAAAGAGCAAATTTTGGAACTGCTGGTGCTAGAGCAGTTCCTGACCATTCTGCCCAGGGAGACTCAGACCCAGATGCAAAAGCACCATCCACAGAGCATTAAGGAGGCTGTGGCCTTAGTAGAATACTTGCAGAGGGAATCTGGTCAAACAAGGAATGGGGTGAGAAGAAAGATTCCTGACATGTACAACACAATAGGATAAAGGTGGCTCAATTGAGGGGAGGGGTTAATTGAGAAATGAGATTGATTAGGTCACTCTTGCATTGTTCCTTTAAGACAGCTAAGGCGGGACCTGAAACTGCAGGCTGCAGTGATAGTCAGTCCACAAGTTTTGGAGCTCTTGGCAGAGTTTTCCTTAGAAAAAAAGAGTTGCTTTTTGCCTTCTTCAGGGCAAGGGTAAATTGAGAGTAATGAGCGTCTCAGTAAAGGAGACATGACTTGAGTTCTTAGAAACAAATAAGGGGGCGGGGGGAACAGATCCAAAAACTTAAGAGGCCAGAGGACAACAAGGATGGCTAAGAGAAGGAAAAATCAAACACCAGGGAAGACTGCAAAGAAGAAGAAAATGTAGAAAGTGAAAGGGAAACATTTGGAAAGAAGAAAAATCTCAGCAGAGAGAAGATGCTGAGGGGTAGTGTCCTCCGCACCATAGACAAGAGCCTCCACTGCCTTCCCTTAGTGTCTGGTCCTCAGCCCTGTTAGTGGGGACCCAGGATAGCTCGGGCAGATGGCAGCGCTCCTGTGGTGGTACAGAATACAGGGCAAGGCATAGCATATGTGTGGTGTCATTATACCAAACCATTTGGAGGTAGATTGGAACCACACTCCCCTTTTTTCTTCCATTCTAATTCTCATTTCCCTATGGGAAAAATCTTACTGAAAGGAAAGACCTTTTTATCCCATTCCTTTTTATTTTTTTAGAGAAAAGTAGAGGAGAGGACATGAGAAGAGATGGCTTGCCCCACCCTGCTAGTGGCCTGAGCTGGGCTATGTGGAGGGGCTGTGTTGTGGGCTGGCAACAGTCATAGCTTTTTTCATTTTGTCCTAGTTTTCCCAGATTTTGCATATAGCTCTTTATGGAAAATAGGTAGCCCATTATCTCTTTAAGTCTTTTCACTGACTTTAGCGTCTCACACCTCTCAGGATCAGGACTCTATGTTTATTCCTCCCTCTACTGACCTCAAACCAAAAGTAAGTTCTGTGGTGACAAGGATGGGGATTATTTCTAGGTCACGTTCCATGAGCTGGGGAAGGAGGCAGTGATCTTGGGAGGAACAGCAGAGGCCCCAGGCTTCATGCTGAAGTCAGCAGAACTCCAATCAGTGGGCAGGTCACAGGATGAAGAATTTTGGAATACATACCGAGGTCTACAAGAACAGCCAAGCAGGAACACTCTCAAAGAAACTGAGGCATTATACAAAAAGGGTAAGGAATGTCATGGTAATTTCCTTCCCCTGGGAGCTGTGATAGTAATTTGTTTAACTAGAGTGCTGTGTCTGGTCCTATGGAGCAGCCATGTTAGTGATTATGATGTTTCGCCGGGTGGCAGTAGAATAGGCCAACTCTGGGTAAAGGTAGGGGTCAATCTAGGATACAGAAATATCCAAACCACAGAACCCTGGTTACTGTGAACTCTGTTCCTTAGAAAAGTAGAGAGGAAAGGAGAAGATGGAGCAGGGAGGGTCAGGGCCACCTCATCCTCCTAAAATATAGGAAGAATTAGGATCAGAAATCAGTTGTCAGTGACAAAACGTGAGCAGATTTGTATATCAGGAAAAAAAATAAAAAGACAAAAATGCCGTATCTTCTACTGTACATTGGAATCCTTGAGTACTTCATTTTCAAACACCTTTAACTCTTGGCCAGCTCAGAGAATTATTTTATTTCATGAGAAGAGAATAAAAACAGATCTTTTATTTCTCATGAACTCTGAGGAAACATTCAGCTAGGGAAACAGTTCTGTTCGCTGGTAAATAACTGATTCTTATTTGAGACTGCAACTTCTGGGATCTCACACTTGAATCAAGATAGACTATATTTTAGAAATGAATTCAGGCTGTTTATAAACAAAAGGAAGAGAAATGTCCTGTGGTTCTTTTCAACCCACAGCTCTGCCTACCCCACAGACTCTAGCCCTTTCTGAGCAGACAAACACCAAAGACTGGACAATGGCACCTAACCTCATCTTGCCTGAGTCCCAGGTGAGCTATACTTTCCATCTGTTTAGGGCTGCCTGAACATGACCTTGTCCATCTGTTTCCCTGCTGCCTATGACCCCCACTGCCTTGTAGATATCAGAAGTGTGTTGGCCCTAGATGTTCTTCCCTAGACAACCTGGCTTGACCCAGTGGGAATTGGGGACCTCCCATGCTGTCTGCAGTCCCTCGAGTCCTTTCTGCTTTCTTTAAAAAAAAGAAAAAAAATACTGTTAATTCCTTCAGTGCCTAGCCTACTGTGCAGGTCAGAAGCCAGGTGGTAGGGCTGGTTCTGTAGTGCCAAGTACTGAGCTGAAGCCCATTCTCTTCTTTAGAGCTTGTTGACATTTGAAGAGGTGGCCATGTATTTTTCTCAGGAAGAATGGGAGTTACTGGAGCCCCCTCAGAAGGTCCTCTACCATGATGTAATGCAGGAAAACTATGAGACTGTCATCTCTCTAGGTAAAGATTCTCCCTTCCCTTTCTGTAAAAGTTGAGTAATCTACCATGTCCTCAGCTTATGGAGAATGCACCCTGTCAGAGAGTCCCCCTGTTCCAGTTGCTGGTTGGTTCTCAGCTGGATGGTGTAGAGAAGAAAGGTGTATCCAGATCACCTGGAGAGCTTTTTCCAAATGTTTTTCCTTATTCTAAAGAGAAGTCTTGATTCCCTCTGCCGTCTCAAACCTCTTCCCATGTCTTTCCTATCTCAGTAAATGGCATCACTCTTCACCCAATTGCTCAGCCAAAAAGCTTACAATCATCCTTTATGATTTCCCATCATACCCTGTGAGCAATCAGCAAGTCCTCTTGGCTCTGCCTTCAGAATATATTCTGGGTCCAACCATATCTCAGTCTCCTCCACTGTTAGCATCCTGGTCTAAACCACCATCATCTCTAACCAAGTCTACTTTGATAGCTCTCTAAATGCATCCTCTTCCATTTCTGCCCTCCACAGTCTGTTTTTCACACAATGGCTAGAGTGATCTTTCAAAAAGTTTACCAGACGGTGACATTTCCCTGCTTCCAACCCCTGCAGTGACTGTTCATCACATCCAGAAGAAAACCCAAACTCCTTACTGAGGTATCCAGGACACTCTATTAGCTGGCTGCTACGTTCATCCTTGCTCAGCTCTCTGTAGCCACACTGGCGTTCTTGCTGTTTCTTGAACTCATTGAGCTCATTTGTACCTTGCTGTTTCCTCTGCTGGCACACTTTTCCACCACATGCAGAGTCCACTTCTTTCAGGTTTCCGCTCAGATAACACTCAAAGAGGCCTACAGCAACCTTCTCTAGAATAACTTCATAGGAGTGGAATCCTAAAATGCTCTTTACCTGTTTTAGTCTTCTTCCAAACATTGATCACTTTCCCGCATTTGAATGTAAGTTCCATGAAAATAGAGGACTTTGTCTTAGTCACTTTTGTATTCCCAGCCCAGAGAGCAATGTCTAGAACATAACAGCCACTTGATACATACTAATTGAATGACTTCGTGACATAATATTCCTACCATATATCTGTATTTGGAAAAAGTTTCCATTTACTCTGGTCATCTCCTCCATCTGGATGTGAACCAGTGAGCTATAGGAGTGGTAGAAATCTCTACTAGTCATCCAGTGCCTGGTGCTTAAATGCTAAATAAATAAAAAGTAACTGTAATTATTACAGGAAACACTTGTATATATGATACCCAACCTACTGACCTTCATATTGGCTCCACTGGACCTGGTCTTATCCAGGAGAAGTCCTCCTGAAGAGTTAATAGGACCAGCCTATATTCCCTCCAACCTCTGGAGCTTGGGTCCTCTGTGGTGGAACACAGTATTTTTGGTGGCTGAAGAAGGAGGAATGTGCACTGGATTCCCATTCCCTGTTTCCTTTTCATCCATCCACCTTATGTGTATTTCTTGGTCTCTGCTTTGGGTATCCACCCACAAATGCAATATAGTATAAACCAGATAGTAGATCGGAGATTCTGCCCTCTGGAATAGCAAACTATCTTTGCCTTTCATTAATAGTCTGGAATTAGTAGACGAATTCACTGTTAAGTTGCCAGTTCATGACCTCAGTTTTTCCTTCTCACAGCATTATTTGTGCTCCCCAAACCTAAAGTGATCTCCTGTCTAGAGCAAGGGGAAGAGCCATGGATCCAGGGACCCCAGGAGTTCAAGGACAGTCATGTAGAGTCTCCTACAGGTAAGTGTACGTCATGAGAAGAGGGGAAATGTACCTTGATAGGATCCTTTACAGGGGCTTAGCATTTTGAGATTTTACTTTTAAAAAAAAAATCAGTCATCATTGAGTTGTTCTTTTTTTTATTCCTGTGATTTTCTTGCCCTGGATACAGGTGGCTGATTCTTAAGTTTATTTCAACAGGGTTAAAGTTCAAAAATGACACTGGAAGTCATCAGCCTGTATCTCTTCCTGCCTTAGAAATAGAAGCACCAGGAGATATAGTTTCAAAAAAGGCCAGAGCCAAAGTTCCCCAGAAAACCACAGACAAAGAAAATCAAGGTGATATACACAGGGTGGGGAAACGGCATCAAGATTTTCCAGTAAAGAAAAGAAAAAAACTTTCAACCTGGAAACAAGAGTTGCTGAAACTTATGGATCTTCACAAGAAAGACCATGCAGGAGGAAAGCCTTTTAAATGTCAGGAATGTGGGAAAAGCTTCAGAGTTAGCTCTGATCTTATTAAACACCAGCGAATTCACACTGAAGAGAAACCCTATAAATGTCAACAGTGTGGTAAGAGGTTTAGATGGAGTTCAGATCTTAATAAGCACTTAACAACACACCAAGGCATAAAACCATATAAATGCTCATGGTGTGGGAAAAGCTTCAGTCAGAACACAAATCTCCATACACACCAGAGAACTCACACCGGTGAGAAGCCTTTTACATGTCATGAATGTGGGAAAAAATTCAGTCAGAACTCCCACCTTATTAAGCACCGGAGAACCCACACAGGTGAGCAGCCTTTTTCCTGTAGCATATGCATGAGAAACTTCAGCAGGCGGTCAAGCCTTCTTAGACACCAGAAACTCCACAGGTAAATAGAAGCTTGTCCAGTGTTCCCCTTTCTGAAGGAATTCACCAAATAGAGTTTAAAGTTGGTGAGAAAATACAAAATCATAAAGCAATCAATGATAAGAATTTGTCATCAGTGGAAAATTTGAGGGTACAGATGTCCTGACGGGAATCTAACTTGGCTCTGCAGGAGACAGCAACAGCTTATTATTTTTACTTTTAACAGGATTCCTTTGTAAGAGAGGTATTCTAAGAACATTCTGGTTGGGATTGTATTGGCAGAATAACAAATTCAACTTCAAATAGTAGATGCAAGCATGAGTCAATCAATGGTTTTCTATAATCACAAAGGTAAATATTTGTTTTACATTAGTCTCCCCAGCCACTCTTGAACATACACGATAGAAACATTTGTAGCATGGTATTCCAAAACAAAAAGCAATAATATGTGTGTTTAATTGTATACTATTATCTTCAGAGTGTCAGGCTTACTGCTTTAAATTGTCTCGTACGACAGAAATGTATTCTAATGTAAAGTTCTCCAAGAACCAAATTGGATTTCCTTTTATTTTTGGACACTGTTCACAAAGTTGGACATCCTTTGAGTATCTACTTGAACTTTTTAACAACTTTACCTCTTGAGTTTTTACTGTAATGAAATCATATTTACTTCATCACCAAGGAATCTGCCAGGTGAACTAATAATGCACTAGCTTATGTCTTTCATTGGTGGTGTTTGGAAAATGGGAAACATCTCCAGTGAGATCTTATGGAAACGGGTTGGAATTTGTAGCCATGGACTATGCATTAGATGTAAAGAATAATTTTTGGCAATAAAAGAAACTAGACTACTTTCTTACCTCATAATGTCACTAGGATTAAACAGCCATAAAATTTAGCACTTGCCTAAGGCTTGAAAGAAAATTAGTGGCAGTTCAGGATCAGATTCTGGTCAGGTTTCTTTTTGTTGCTTGCCTTTTAATTTGACTTGTTTGTTTATTATTAAGAATGAGAAAAGAATTGTGTTTATATGGAAACTGAGGTGTATGTTTTGCATGCAGACCCTTGAAGTTCACTTGCTTTGGTGACCTGGGGAATCCAGTTAGCAGAAGACAGAGAGTTCCCAAAAGGAAAGGTTTAGGAACTGATGAGTATTGGGCAAGGATGGGTGAATTCGCATCTATGTAGTTTGTCTTAAACTGTGTTATGGATTTAATTGTGTCCCCCCACCCCCAAAAAAAAATATGCATTGTAAATCCTAACCCCTGTACCTGTGGTAAGAGCCCTGGTAGCTCAATGTTTAAGCGTGTGGGTGCTAACTGAAAAGTCAGCGATTTAAACCCACCAGCTACTCTGAGGGAGAAAGATGTGACAGTTAGCTTCCATAAAGATTACAGCCTTGGAAACCCTATGGAGCTGTTCTACTGTCCTGTAGGGTTGCTATGAGTCGTAATACCTGTGGTTATGATCCCATTTGGAAATGGGTCTTTTTTGTTGTTAATGAGGCAGTATTATTGTAAGGTAGGTTTAAGCAAGTGAGCGCAAATGGAGGGGAAGATACACACCACATGATTGCCAAGGAACCTAGGAATAGAAACTGAAAAGAGACAAGGACCTTCCCCCAGAGCAGATCAAAAGAGAGCCTTCCCTTAGAGCTGGCACTGAATTGACTTCTAGACCCGTAAACTGTGAGAAAATAAATTTCTGTTCATTAAAGCTACCCACTTTTTGTATTTTATAGCAACACTAGATAACTAAGCCACACTGTAAGCTCTTAAGTGGGAAGGGTCTACCTGTCCTTTGTTCTCTCCGGCACAGCATTTAAGAGCAGTCTTAGGTGACAAATTTGATGGACTGATGAAAGTCCCTGTTGTGTGCCATTGAGTCAATTCCAACTCATAGGAACCCTATAGGACACAGTAGAGCTGCCTCATAGGGTTTCCTAGGTTGTTATCTTCATGGAAACAGATCACCAGGTATTTTCTCCCATGGAGCTGCTGGGAGGTTCAAACTACCAGCCTTTCAGTTAGCAGCTGAGCGCTTAAGCATTGCACTACCAAGGTGCCTTAAAGTCTGTACAGGCCTGTAGGTTTTCTAATAACTTACCTACTTAATTTACAACAGTGACTCTGGTATGTTCCTGCTAGAATTTTCAGGTACAGTCCTAGGTAAGGGGCTTAAGAAATTATCCCTTCCAAATCTTATTTTATAGATGAGGACATTAAGGCTCAAAATAGGTACAGGGACTTGCTCAACACCCAACAGCTAGAAGGCGACATTCCTTCTGGTGGTTGTCACTCATCTTCATCAGTCAGGCTGGAAGCAGGATTAGCATGATTTGTATGTCATGCCTGCACAGCCAGCCTGGATGACATCTGTTTCTGAGCTTATAAAACATTCCCGTTTCTTGATTAGTCACTGAAGCACTTTAAGTCTCCTTTGGTGTATAATAGAGATAACACTCACCTCAAGGTTCTGGAGATTAGATGAATCGATGAAAGTAAAATACCCCACAGAGCCTGAATTATAGTGAATGCTTAGTTCAAGTGTGTTTCTTTCTCTTTCCCCTGCTCCCTGGTGATGTGTGGAACTGACTGCATTAAAGAAGCTAATGCATTTGTGGCTGTGGCAGTTCCACTCAGAAGCTGAGGTGGTGGTGGTGATTATGCTAAGTTGATTTGGCCCTTGGCTTCCATGCTTTATGGTGTAAGTCACTAAAGCCACCTGAGCTATTAGTGAATGTGTGGATTGCTCAAGTTAATTCTTCCCTTTTTTCTGGTATATTCTGAACCTTAAGGCACCAGCTCCCTTTTAATGGAGTTGGTCTGGAACTTCTAGCAGTGATTTTATTTTGCTTCTCAAGATGAATGACACCACGACTTATTTCTTAAGCACAGTTGGTTCTCAAGCTCTGGTCCACACCGCTCTTACCCAGTTCCCTCTCAGCCTTAGACTCTTGGGACTTGGCCCCTTTTGCCAGGATATGTGGATTTCTTCCTTGCACTACATTCATTCATGCAATTCAGTTGAGGACCTTTGATGTGCCAGACACTGCCCTGGACTCTGAGGATACAGCTATGAACAAAAGAAACAAAAATGCATATGGCACTTGCATTCTAAAACAGTAAAAGGGCAAATGGTTATGCTTCCCTGATCCTGGCAGTTAGGGTTATGAAATAAGTTTTGGGTCTTGGGTTGTGAGCAGAAGTGTCACTTCTGGCTGAAGCATTTGTTTACTACTGTGAGACTCTAGTACTCCTTTGTCCTTAATTGTGGAATCACATAGAGAGGAGCCATGAGTTCAAAGCAGCCTGGGGTGCTGAGCCCCAACATGGAAGGCAACTGTTCTGAAGAATTCCCCACACCTGAAATAGTCTGTGGGAACAAGAAATAAACTGTTGTGTTAAGCCACTGAGATGGTGGTGGTAGTTGTTTCTGTAGCATAATCTGATGCATCCTGATAGACCGAGAGCCTAGAGGAGGGCATTTGGGGAAGGAACCTCATCCTTTTCATTCCACCTGGCCTTTGGGAGACAGACAGATTCCTCTTTCAGTGCTCCACTGAGCTGATGTAAGACTGTTGGGAAAGCTCAGGAACCCAAACAGCTGTACGCAAGAAGTTAAAAAGACTTAGATAAAAACAAAACCAAGATCTGTTGGGGCTTGGCTTTAAAATAAAATCTGAGACACACATACAACCCTAGGTTCAGCCTTAGAAGTTAGTATTAAAATTCTCACAAACACACTCCATGATCTTTTTCTTTTCACCCGCCATAACCTTAACCAGATGATTTTTTTTAGGACAAACCAGACAGGTGCTGGACACAAGACACATCTTGGAGAGCCAGACTCCTTAAAACACCCACCTCATTTCTGTGGTGGTGGTAGTTCCCATGGAGTCAACTCTGACCCATGGCAACCCCATGTACAACAATGAAACATTGCCCAATCCTGCGCCATCTTCACGATCATTGGTATGCTGGAGTCCATCCATTGTGGCCACTGTGTATTTTGAGTGCCATCCAACCGAGGAGGCTCGTCTTCCAGCACCATGTCAGACAGTATTCTGTTGTGACCCATAGGGTTTCCATTGGCTAATTTTCAAAAGTAGGTCACCATGCCTTTCTTCCTATTCTCTTAGACTGGAAACTACTGAAAAATGTCCACCATGGGTGACCCTGATAGTATTTGAAATACTGGTGGCATAGCTTCCAGCATCATATGTAACACGCAAGCCAGCACAGTAGAACAAACAGACAGGTGGTGGATTTCTGTGTTAAAACCCGTTGCCGTCCAGTTGATTCCAACTCACAGCGACCCTATAGGACAGAGTAGAACTGCCCCATAGGGTTTCTACGAAGCGGCTGGTGGATTTGAACTGCCGGCCTTTTGGTTAGCAGCCAAGCTTTTAACCACTGTGCCACCAGGGCTGATTTTTATGTTGCATACTCAATCTTCCTCAAACACTGCGTCCCCTTTATCACTGTTCCATTCCTAGAGACTCAATAGCTCACTCCCCAATTCCTACATCCTTAGCTCCCTAGTTTGGCTTCAGGGCACCTCATCGGCGGGACCCAACTTTCAGATAACCTGCTTTTCCTCTCTCCACGCTGACATATCCCTAGTGCTGAGCTAGCCTGTCAATCTTTTAGCCCCCAATATCGCCTCCTTGCCTGTCCAAATCCTTCCTTCAACCTCACATCCCATCTCCACCTTGTAACCCTCACAACTGAAGCCCAAACTGGCCTATCTCTTCTCAGAACCGTGGTTAAAACACAGATTGCTGGGCCCTACTCCTAGGGTTTCTAATTCAGTCAGTCTAGGGTGGGACCCAAGAATCTGCATTCCTAACAGGCTCCCACGTAATGCCAAAGCCCCTGATCCAGGAATCCCACTTTGAGAACCACTGTTCTGGACCTTTTCTCCTGGGGGCAGAGGTTGTCTTGGAAGCCCAGTAATTCTGAAGATTTTGATACCTATGGCAGGATATCAAAATCCTTGAGTGGGCCTGAATACATGGATTAAATGCAAATAATCTGCTCCTTATTCTCATGCATCTGGCAAATCACCACCAATAATTATGGGTGTAAAATCTCCACATTTACCCTGGAATTTTTTCTAAATTTTATTTTGTTGTTGATAATGTACACAGCAAAACATACACCAGTTCGTTTCTACATGTACAGTTGAGTGACATTGAATATATTTTTTGAGTTGTACAATCATTCTCATCCTCCTTTTCTGAGTTGTTCCTCTCCAATTAACATAAACTCACTGCCCCCTAAGGTTCTTATCTAATCTTTTGAGTTACTGTTGTCAATTTGATCCCACATAGATAGTTCTTAAAAGAGCATATTTTTACTAGTTGAACTATTGTTCAGTTTTAAGATGACTTCAGGGGATATTTTTGGTTTAAGGTTTAAAGATTATCTCAGGGCAATAATTTTAGGGATTCATCCACTCTCCATGGCTCCAGAAAGTCTAGAGTCCATGAAAATTTTAAATTCTGGTTTGCATTTTCCCCCTTTTGATCAGGATTCTTCTATGGAATCTTTGATCAAAATGTTCAGTAATGGTAGCTGGGCACCATCCAGTTCTGGTTCCATGGCAAAGGAGGCAGTTGTTCATGTAGGCAATTACCCACACATTCCATATCTTCCTCCTTTTCCTGACTGTCCTTCTTCCTCTTGCTTCAGGTGGTGGCCCATGAATTTTGATGCCTTCCCAATCTCACCCTCCGTCACTGGCCCTTTGAAGGCCTCCTGGATCCGTGGCCTCTGGCTGGAACACCAATGAAGTTTCTCAAACTAGTTTTCCTCCTTAGGTTCCGTAGAGGGCCCTTGCTGGCTCGGTGCCCCTGTCACTGCCCTGCCCATGTGCCTGGCATGCTCTCCCCTCCAGGACTAACCCTGGCAGAGGTGACATCTGACTCTCTTCCTCTTCTGGGGACTGGCAGGGCTGGGTTTCTCCAGTGCCTCAGCAGACTTAACCATGGGGGGACCAGGGAGTACCCTCACCCAGCCTTGTCCAGGGTCCTCTGAGAAGGTGGAGGCACCCTCTGGCAGGGTAGGGGTGTCATCTCCAAGGCCTGTACTTCTCCAGCCTTACAGGCGAGCAGCATCCCTGGGGCACATGAGGCCCCCAGAGGACCTGGAACATGCTGTCTTAGCCGCTACTCCTCATCAGGGCACCTCAGTCCAGCAGTCTTCAGACAGCGTTTACTTACTCTTGGTGTGTGTGCAAAGTCGATTCAAGGGTTACC